GGAGAGACCAACCAGCGAACCTTTACCTTTCAAACGTTTAGGTTCGGTAGTTGTAATCCCGCCGGGCAGTGGACTTTATCGTCGTGATTACGAGAAGCTTGTCTGTAGAAGATACCCGACTAAGACTGAAGTTTGCGTGCCGCTAGCACGTGCTTTCCGGGCCGAGTCGCCGGGTCTACGACAGCCCATAGTTCCCCGACAGCGAAGCCGTTCTTTGTCTCCTTATGTCAACGAGAATCCGCCGACTCCGCTTCATTTGCATCGTTCGGTGAAAATTCACCTCGATCCTCTAGTGGCTTCTCGATTCCGACCACAAGTCCGAACACCGTCAAGGTCACCAGACGCCCCGGCAAAACGCTACTTCGAGCTAACCTTTCTGCCAGCTCTCAAAAAACAACCGAGCTCATTGCCTCACCGTTCATCAGCCCTCTCTCGCCTAGGCCCGCTGGTGGCTCCTCGTCCACCGCTTGAAGAGCTAACTCCACCAGCATCGCCCGACGTCTCAGAAACGCATCTTCACGAGCTCGCCAGTATACTGCCAACAGAGGACTCGCTGACATTGACGACGCGGCGCGAAGATTTGATTTGATTTGTTTATTTGATACGGACCTCGGGGTAGAACCCCATGTGGCCCACATAGCAGTATACATTATGCAGCTTTTTACAAGCTATTTTCAAAATTTACAGCAGTAGTTTTACAATTGTGCTTATTGTAACAAGATTGTACAATATTTAGTAATTTTTACAGAGTGATGAGGCGTAGATTAAAGATATCTACATACATAAATTCAGTGTTTTGCAAAAATTAACAGTGTGGAACAGTAGGCTCTCATATAGTGTTGTAGATTACAAAAGAATAGTTTGAGTACGAATGAAATTATTGAGGAACATTTTGACAGCTCTTGACGACGAAAGGGTGCAGGATCCTATGATGCGCTGGTTGGTGATGGATGATGACTAGAAGTGAACGAGCTAGAGAGCGATGGTAGTGCTATAGCAAACGCATTCAGGTCAGCTTCGGTGTTGATTAGGGTGAGTTTGGTGCGATTTTGGCAACGCATGTAAATGCGCATATTGCGTACTACAGGGTTGGGCAGTCTGTGTTGTTTGCGTAAAAACCAGCATCTCCTCAGTAGTCGATAGCGCTCAGGTGGCAGAATGGGAGCGGCACTAAGACGGCCGTCCTCGGCTTCGGGCAATACAAAAAATCTTCGACACTGGGAGACGCTGGAATCGCGGTGCAGCAGCGAGAAATGATTCACGTGCGTTTGTCGAGGCAAAGCGCAGCACGCAGGCATTGGTGTCTGGTACATGTTTTGCAGCAGTGTCAATCTGAGACATTGCAGAATTGGCAGATGATACACGAAACTTTGCTTTCCATTCGCGCACACGTATTACGTGCGGTAAGAGTCGTTCCTCCCCTAGCGCTTCAAGTACATGCTTGACGTTGGTAATGTCACATAGGTCCAATATAGCCGGTAGGCCTGACAATCGAACCTCGCAGTCATCATGACAGTCCTCCGTGAAAGTAAATGCAGGCGCGGGTGCTGTGGCTGAATTTTCCTTAGTAATTGGACTTCTCTCCTGGAGACTCGTGAAAGCATGCTCGCTCGCCATTTGCCGGTTCTTTAAATTCATTAACTCGCCTGAGAGGTGTCGGCTGAGTTCTTCGATGTCTCTGGCGTTTTGCGCTATCGCCTTCTCATGCTTGTGCTGGGTTTTTACAATATTGTCCAGGCGATCTACGATTTGATCTAAATGGGCCACAATATTCTGACACAGTCCAAGGAACCAGGATGGTGCAGTGCAGTTGGGGTCATCGGCCTTAGGTGAAACTGTTGTATCGTTTTGAAGTAAAGAAGGCATGGTTATGACGTACAATATTTTGGATACAGAAGTAGCAAGAAGAAAGAGAGAGCGATAAGTCAGTAAAGATTCAGTGATCCTAGAGTACGGCAGAATTGTTGGTAACTAAAGTTACGTCACAAGCTCGGCACATACAGTTTCACAGGCACGACAGGTATGACGATGATACGAATCGAAGCTTGAATCGTCAACAACACCACCCGCACACACTCAACCACAGAACACCGGCAAATGGCACACTTAACCAGGCTCCTCCTTCACTCTGAACTTTGGCTTCGCTTTATCCTTGATGATTTAGCAGACAGCAGGTGCGCGAGAGAAGCGACGCAGAGATTTTCACGTCGCTAACCTCGAATTGGATGAAGAAAAAGTGATGCACTTATTGATGAATTTTCCAGTTGCAAGGACCAGTTGCAGTAAATGTCTTTACTGATTTGGGTTCCTTGCACTTTTTTACACGCAAGATCTAAAAAAGAAAATGCCCAGAGGCACGGATACAGCAGAAACAGATCAAAAATTCGGGAGGTCGAGAAAAACACGTGCCACTTGTACTCACCAGAGAGAGAGAGGAATAGAAGGAGAGCGTCAGCCTGGAGACATCAGAGGAAGGCTGAACAGTAGAATCAAGAGAGAAAAAACCAAACGGTCCTTTTCAGGACCACGAATACTCAATGTTACCGAACACCGTCGTTTATCGCCTAACATGATGGTGAAGAAATTATAAATCCACTAAAAGTATTAAACTGGATTGTTAGTTTAGATATGAAACAGGTTTTTTCAAATATCTATACAGCTTATAGATTACTTTTAACAATTCCTATCGCAAACTGCGAAACAGAAAGATAGTTTCCTGTTTTAAAACGCATAAAAAATATATATAGGTCGACGATGATCGATGAAAGATTGTCATCATTATCACGATTAAGTAAAGAAAGAGATGTACTTCGTTCTCTTGATTTTAATGATATTATTTCTGAATTTGCTGAAGCAAAGTCCTAGATGAAACCTATTTAATATTATTTTGCATCACCTTTTTAATGTTATATTTTCATTATGTTTAAATAAATGTTAAAACTAACAATTTTACTCATGAGTCGTTCGAAAAAAAATTTTTTTGCTATATTTATTTATTTGAATGAGGCCCTTTTTTCCTATTAGCCCTAGGACTGACACAGGTTTAATCCGGCGCTGATTGTAAATACTTTAGTAAGCTAACAGTTTGAAACAAAAAGTTGTTAGTATGTTGAATATTTGACGGACTATACTTGATTTTACTAATATTATGTCCAAAAAATTTATAATGTTATACAATTTGAGATTACCATTTAAATACTTTAAGAACATATTTTAAAGTTAGCATCATAATAATCACACAGACATACTTGCTTGTTCATGTTCTTTAAACAAAAAGTTTATGGAAATTCAAATTATTCTATCATTTATATTAGAATGCTTATCATATGCGTAAAAAAACTTAAAAATAATAGTCAAAGGAGATTTAAAATATTTCAACTTCCCGGAAAAAGTCATGGTTTAGTACGGATTTTGACCTAGTGCGGCAAGCACGCTACCCGGGACGATATTCGTTCGAAAACATCGCGACTTTCCGGAGAATCATCGATGTATGCGACGTATACGTGACAGCGAGTATTAGCACATAAGATTGCGGACGACGTAGTGTCAAATCACCAAAAAGTTAAAAAAAAATAGATAACATGTAGCGTGAGACGTCAAAAACATATTTAGAAATTTTTACAAATTTTGTTGACGTTTCACCGGTGTGTAATCGGGCCCTGTCAACACTATACTTATGCTAATAGGATTATCGTTTCAAATTTGTTCTTGTATAAGATAATCAAATCTTTTACGCCACAATATACCAATGGAAGAAAATTCAACCCGTTTAAATAGATGAGGAGAGCATGTCGTCACTGCTTTTTTAATGTTATTTTATGTTATTTGTTTTACTGATGTACTTGCCATATGAAGCGCAACACGTGCCCCTCGATTGACGATATTTTGATTTTTTCAAGGTTTTTCAAGGAACATATTGAACATATTGCAAGAATTCTGGCAGCGATAATAAGTAAGGAATTTAAATTACAGAATGCAGATTAGCAAAATAGTCTAAGAAAAACTTGGGGCATGTTAATGTATGTAATATTAAGTTTAATAGACTTTAACCACTTAAGTTTAACAGAATTTAAATAAAAGGCTTGGAAAATTTTTTCCGTTGTAAAGTACAAAAAAAATGACAAAAATAGCTATTTTAATAACGCTTATTGCTATATTTGGAAATTAGTAGATTAAAAAAATAACTAAATAAAAAATCTGCTACACTTAAGTCGAAAAGAATTTTTACTACAAAACTTTTGAGACCGCAAGGATCCGGATTGGTGAAAAATTGCATTCAAAATCATGCGGTCAATGACTTAGAAGTCACAAGTCAATATAAATGTTTGATGGATGATTTTTAATTATAAGAGGAACTACAGATATATTTTTTGTTGTAAAAGGACCTATAAAAACATATTTTTACATCAGAAGCAAAAAATTTTCATAGTAATCCTTAATTTTCATGTTTTTAATTTATAGGCATAAACACAGGTGTGTCCCCTTAAATCATGAATCGATGAAGAGTTAGAAGATATAAAATTTTATATATCTCAGTTTGATGTAAAGATCGAATATGAAAAAGATAATTTAGAAGCCGGACTGATTCAGCCGAAATCTAGTTTTTGAGTCGTCTACGAAGGAGGAAGAGATAATAAAACTAGTCAATTTAATGGAGCAAAAATACATAATAACACATCAAAAGGAAAATAAGAAGTTACAGGACGAAAAAAAGAAAATATAAAGAAATTGGTACATTATGAAGTAGTGGCATAAGTAGCAGATTATGGTACGGCAGAGTAAAGTGCCCGAGCGCAGCGAGGGTGTTTCTACCGTTCTGATAATGTGCTACTTATGACACGTGTACAGTACACATAAGCTTCGCTTGTATATCTTTTTAAATGACATATGAAAGAAGTGGTGCAAACTTATAGCCCCAAAATACTAAGATAATAAAAAGTTTACTAGAGAAAAAATTCCTTAATGCTACATATAAAAAGGAGTGTTAATTTGACTCTTACGATCTTTGTTGAGCTTAAATAGTCTGAAGAATAATGTTTTTTTTTCAATTGTATGTCTATGGTTTCAACATCAATCTCATCATCCGTAACTATCGGTTCTGCCTTGTGTTGAAGAGGTACCGATGTTTTTAAAGATTGTACAGACGTTTGTATTTTCATCTCATCAAACGAATTGCTAATTACTGGTTGGAATGCTGATTTATTTATTTGATCGTTAAATGCCGAAACGATTTGTGGAGATCCAGTTTCTCCACTACACAAGCTTTTCGTTGAACCTTGTGAAAAAATTCGAAAAAGATTTTACATGTAACACAATGGAAATTTTACAATCTAAATGTATAAACTTGGTTAATTAAACGAATCAAATCCATTGCTAATATATTGTCAAAACACTTTCTCTAAAAAATCTGATCAATCCTACATTTGTTTTCAGTTAACACAAAAACAATTTGATGAAAAAACTAACTCAAAATAGCATAAAATAACAAGTCAATTAATTAAAGAGTTAAAAATTAAAAAACAAATGGAAAAACAGGAAAATTTATCAATCAAATAAATAATAATAAAAAAATCGAATGAGTAAAAAACTCAAAAAGTAAAATAAAACACAAAAACATGAATCCAACAAGTAATATTTGATTTTCAAGAAATTACTCGGATTAGTCAACTAAATAAGAGGTAACGAGTTCCAAAAACTTTTGAGAGTAAGTACTCAATGATTATGCACTAGTTATGAAAAATAGATGCTTATGTTGGGATTTTCTGAGTTTTATTTTTGTTTCTTGATTTTTTAGTAACTAGTTTGGTTTTTTGTTTTGACTATTAATTGTTCGATTCATGTTTTTTGTTTTTATTTCGTATTTTACTTAATTGATTTTTTTATTATTACTTATATTGATTAAACAACTTTTTTGGTTTTATTTTACGTGTCTTTGAATTTTTATTAATTTTGATAAAGATGTTTTACATCTTACAGCTATTCGTAACAGCTGATTTTTTTATTTATATATATTTTTAATTAATTCTAATATTTATTATTGTTTGAAGTAATTTATCAATTTTTTCTCAAATTTCATGGTTTTTTCCTTATTTTCTATGTTTTTTGGCTCTTTGCAAGCTACCAAATTGTCTATAATGGTGACTCAGTTATCAAACTTTATCAGAAGTTATATTTTGGTGTATTGATGAACATATTACAAGATTGGCCGATTTGAGGTATACGAACAATTTTATTTTTTGACTTACATGGTATCTTACACTATTTTTTCAATTTTAAGGGGTTTTGAGGTTATGAATGTCATTTTCGAGTACAGACTTGAATTATACATCAAATTTTATATGGAAAAACATGGTTTAGAAATTTTTTCATATGCACCCGAGAAAAGCAGAGTAACAAGCAGAATATCCTCAAAACATGAAAATCCAAATTTAAGCCCCTATAGATCCATGAGGGTTGGACCTAGGGGGCTGTGCTTTTCAGGATTTTCATTTTTCAATGAGTTCTTGAAAACTAAATGGTTAGTTTCAACTTCATTTTTTTGACCTGCAACACCTGTTGTGGAATAGCCCATATACATACATGCATTGATCAATATCAAATTTGAAAACATGCGTAATAGTGCGTAGAGTCTCGCGACACCTATTCTATGTATTATATTATGTAGACTCGCTTGCGCGCCGACCAGCCAGCGTTATAAATCATGGCGCTAATTCGAGCTGGCACGCAGTTTCACTCTTAGACTTGCCAGAGTCGGAACTCGCTCGCCCACGAGAGCCACGTAAATAAACCTGAGGTGTACTAAAATACTCGGCCTTCTTATTTTTTGTCCCTCTTCAAGCCTCCTCACCCAGTTTTGAACCGAGAAGCTTTACCAGCGACCGCTAGGTGGCGCAGCACCGGCACCCACAAGCAACGTATCCCCGCCGGGACTTCAGTATCGGCCACTTCGAGCCTCAGTCACTCGACTTCGGTCACTCGGCGAGTGCAGCCCGGATCTTCCAGCCACACCAAACCAGCAAGGCCAAGTCAGACCCGTCACTGCAGCCAAGTCGTATTACGAAGACCCAGCCGAATACCTGACCAAATGATTATTGTTGTTATGCAAATCGATTATGTAGAGTAATTAAGGTAAAATATTTATAATATACATTAATACAGTACAAATAATTAATATCAATATTATTGTTTCAGCCAGGGACATATGTTAGATTGCGAAATATATTCGCTCGTTCATCGAATGAGTATGACGAGACTGGCAATAGATATGAAATAAAAGTAGACCGAAATACGCAATTGGCATATTTCAATTGATCGTTTGAATGTTTTTGTGTTTTGACACGTATATTTCATTTGTATTTCAATTGTTTAATTTATATAGTTCTTGTTCAAGTTGTTTATTGTGTCGTAAGTGATTGATAATTGTACTTTGAGTTGTTCGTTAAAAACTTAGATTTTTCTTAGCTATGTAAGTAGCTGAATATAAAGTAGCATGTGGCGTGACGTATGTGGCGTGGAAATTAATTTATTTTTCAAGTTTTTGTATTGATTTTTTAATAGATGCGTATTGACAAGAAAATGTAATGTTTATGTTAAAAAATAAGGTGACATCGAGAAAGTGAGATACAATGGAATAATTTTTTTCCGTTGTTTCTGTTCATTTCTTTTTCCAATTGATGGTATACTGGATATTACATAATGTTCCTTGTAATGAATGTTTAATATATAATATGACTCGTCAAAATGTATACACGCATTATTTCATTTTCGCCCTTGCCCGACAATCATTCACAATCAACGCAGTTACTTGTGACAGTAACAATTCAGCTCCTGTTAAAAAGTCGAAACCCGCTTCCGTGATGCCGTGGGACATGTAATACTTTAGTTTTATTCATATTACTGAAACGTCAGCTTTGATGAAGGAAACAGAAGAATAACTTGCTAAGTAGGACACTCACACACAGGGAAAAATCATGCAGGCCATTTTGGAAAGCACCCTTGCCACCTCGTAATATACAAACACAAAATGTCGCGATATGCGCGATTTGTTCGACTAAATGTAAGGTGTGGATAATAATAAAACAATGCTTATTAATGCTGAGCGAAGCGAAGTCGTTTATCCTTTCAGCCCAATTGATTTCGGCATATTTCGTGACAACGGTTTCTAGAGAACGACGTCACGGAATGTTCTGAAATTTTTAAGGGTTGTTAACGGCGGTCAGTTGAATGTCTGATTGCCACATTCCGTCGACCTGGGGCACCAGGTCACCGTTCTGGCCCCTGTAAAAACTTCTTCGAGAATTTTCGTTATTTTTGGGTTGTACTGACTGTGGATATTTAAGTGTTTGGTGGGGGCCAGGGTATAGGCTAAAGATGTTGGTTGTTGCTTCTGCTGATGTTGCTGCTGCTGCTATCTCCGCTGCTGACTTGCCTTGGCAGATATGTGCTAAAGCGAGAATATATGTACATGTTCAAATTTTTATACTGTGTGCACTATCTGTGCCGTAGCAAAATATATATGTTTAGATTAAATAATGTGCACTTAATGTGCTGTTACAAAAATATATATGTTTAAAATAAAACAATGTGCACTTTATGTGCTGTAACAAAAATATATGTTTAAATTAGTACAATATGCACTTTATGTGCTGTAGCAAAAGTATATGTTTAAATTAACATTTTTGGTTCGAATTGACGCAATACATGTAATATTTAACATTGAGTGCTGTACTTATTTGTACTTAGATTTTTAAATCACATTTTTTTTGGCTTAAATTTAAAATCACTTAATTCAATTAATTTATTAATAGTACTTAATTTGTACTTGGATTTTTGGTAGGATTTCACCTCAAATTGTATACAATAATTATTAATCACAGCTGAAATTATAGCTGAACAATTGCAGTCGAACTGCTTGATTTGTGCTGATTTGCACCAAGGCTACATAGAAAATAATACAATAATTTGCACTCGTGTGCTTGAAAAAATAATATTATTACCATTGTAAAATAAAACTTTTACTCAATCTTACGCCTACATATACACTTACCACTCTGAGACCGGTCAATAACAACTGCCTCTATGAGCTCTGTAAAAATTTAAGGGGATTTTAGGCAATTGAAAATTGGATAATTTAACTTTAACGCCAGCTTGAACAATGGGCAGAAGGTCATCAAGATTTTCAAGCAATATACTCGCACTATTTATAATTTTAAAAGTTTCCAAATTTGCTACAGGCAGTTTCTCGACGAGAGTTATCATACTCTTCGACCAACTCATTGTCAAGCGTTTTAAGAACATCAAATTAAGAAAACTAAACTCTTCCGAAATAACTAAGTTGGAAATAGTCAAATCAATTAAGTTAGGCAGACTATTTAATAAGTCTTGTAGCCTTGGCTCTAAAAATGATGCGTTCGTTAGATCAAGAAAAGTGATTTTATCGGCAAATTTAAAAGTCCAACTTTCAATGTCCGATTCCGGCTCAGGGTAATGACTTGGTTTAGAAAACGTAATTGAAATTGCGTAGAGAGAATTTTTACCCGAAAATAGTGCTTCGACCCACCGACCAAGTTTTGTACAAAAATCAACCGCGAAACAGTCGTGTAATAACAACACCTCAATAGTTTTATTATTTTTAATCGCAACAGCAAAGTCCGCGAAAGTCAATTGCGTGCATTTTACCATTTTCACGCATTTTGCACTCGTCGATGACAGAAAACTGCCGCGTACTTGACTGTTTTTATCTATTTGAAGTCGGTGTGCTTGCTCAGAGGCGAGGGTCTTGTCGAAGCTTGAGGTAAACTCTTCGAGAAAACATGTCTCGAGAGAGAAGTTATCCGCTAAAAATTGTAATACATTTTTACTTAAAACTATAGCCTGTAAATCAATTAATTTTATTTTATATTTCGCATCCGCGTCCCCCCGGCTGCATCCATAACGCATCGCTCGCAACGCCTGACTCACCATATTAACATCTGCTGAAATATTATTATCGTTGAATTTTAGAACTTGTGGCTTAAATTTAGAAAAGTGCTCTTTGAAGAAATTATTAATTTTAGTGTACGTGAACAACGGCCAATTATTGTCATAGAATTTGCTAAATAAAAGAGTTAATACGGTCGGATTAAATGAGAACGAGTTTGTGATGTTTAATGATGAGTCAGAGTCAAGATATAAAAATAAGCGAGGTAAAAATCGGGTTGCTTCCAGGAAGGGATGCAGGGCGCATTTTTTCGACGAGGTCTGCTGCAAACTCAAAACGGGTCTACCGCCTGCATA